AAAATAAAGATTTATACATGAATATATTGAGTATTTGTTTTGAATAGTCCGTGTGCAAAGTAATTTTCATGTTAAAATTAAAAATATTATTCCTGATCTCAAAAATCTCAAATTTCCATTGTGTAATCCCTAAAACATCCTAAATGCACTTCAAGCGTTTTTTTTCACTAAAACTTTATAGTTTATCTGTTATTTTTTCCACTTTATCTCAAAATGGGATCAGTCAATTTGACCGACCACCAAAAAATCGAAATAAACCTAAATTATCCTATTTTTCTTTCTAGAATGACTTCAAATTGTAACATGAAACTACATTCGTTTATCCTAAGTAGTTCTAAGATCGTAACAGTATATATCTATCTATAATGAAATTTTATTGTTTTATTGCCCTTTGAATCATGTATAACTACTATCTACACCATTATAAGTTGTAACTCACTCGGGGAACATGCAGGTCATGTTAGACTAATGAATTACATTACCTACAAGCTTTTTGCATGTTCCTCGTGAAACATTTTTATTATATTATTATTATTTATTTTACCTAATCTAAGCTTAAAAAAACCTAAAAGGATTCCTATTTTACATTTTAGTTACTTTTATAATTATACATAAAGAATAAACAAGAAAAACAAGAAATAAAATACTTAACCAATCTTCTTTTTTCTTACTGTCAGTTTTCAGAGATAGTTAATCCTAATTTTTCATACTAATGATAGCAATGCACTTAATAATTTTTATTTAATTAAATAATGCACCAAAGAATATAGACTAATAGTATGTAAAAAGTATACAAATTCACTTAACTCTCAAAATTTTTCTGGCTTTCTAACTATGCTACAGGAGCCGTTACAAACTCATCCAAGCTAGTCATGGGAACAAATCTTGTACTGTGAGTGAAACTGACGACCTTCAGTTCAAAACACAACATTATACAATATATCACTTGATAGATGAAAACCTTGACTTTCTATTGGTTAAAGGTAATATATAATGAAATGTAAGAGTGAACTATCAACGAATTGTAAAAGAGAGGATGTGACAGGTGGCTCTGGCAGGAGGGATCTGATTTTCTATTCGATAGCTCTGTAATCAAACAAAATTGAAAACTATAAAAATTATGGTTTGTCTGAGCAATGATGATTTTATAGAGAGTAATTTACATTTAATTTCGTACATTTTCGTGGGATGATAACTAAAATAGAGATGATGACATGCTAAGAGAAAATGTGTCACTTGGGTCACACTAGTGGAAATTCAGGATTTTTTTAAAATATTGCCTTATAGAATTAAGAACTTAGAACTTGTATACTATTCTAATGGGTATAACATAAACAAAAAGTAGTTTAATAAAATTTTAAAATGTAAGACACTAAAACCTTGTGTCATGGGCAGTAAAGGATACTGATGGCAATTGGGTTAAAATATGGATTATTAGCTACAATTTTATGCTATACTAATTGGTATAACATGAGCAAATAGTAACTTGATTAAATTTTGAATGTTACTCAACACCTTGCAACATGTGCAGTAAAGAATGCCCATGGAGAGAGGGTTAATCATTCAGTAAATTTCATTGATGTAAAAATCTCATTAAAGGGCAATATTAAACCAATTATGTGCTTATGCCTCTTCACACCTAACTTTAATGTCAATATTAAACCAATTATGTGTTTATGCCTCTTCACACCTAACTTTAATGTCAATATTAAACAAATTCTGTTCTTGCATCTCTTCAAATCTAGCTTTCATGTCAATATTAAAACAATTCTATGCTTACATCTCTTTAAATCTAGCTTTCATGTCAATATTAAAATAATTCTGTGCTTACATCTCTTCAAATCTAGCTTTCATGTCAATACTAAACAATTCTGTGCTTATGTTTCTTCACATCTAGCTTTCATTCATAATTAAACCAATTCTGTGCTTATGCTTCTTCACATATAGCTTTCATGTCAATAACCAGTAATAACTTAATTCAGTGCATGTAAAATCAATTTCACTCGTTAATTTTTTACTAGAAACTTTTCAAAATTAGTGTCAAGTCCATATAATCACTTTTAGTCCAGTATTTTGTTTAACTTTACCTAAAATACACACACACATATTAAAAAGAGTAAAAAAAACGCCAGCAGTTATGCTGTAACAAGTATTTGATATGCCATAATTTAATTATAAGTTTATATCTTCATCTTTATTTCTAAGATATTGGAAGGAAAAAATACTTTATGATAAAAAGAGAAAGCCAGCAAACTAATTAGTGTTGTGAATATTTTTATTATACAAGCTATACATTTACTGTGATTCTTATAAATAAAAAAAAATAATAAAATGTATGCATGATATAAAATGAAGTCGTACAACCCTTCTTTTCAGTGAACATATGACATGCTTGTAGAACTAAGCTAACTTTAACAATTATATCTTAAGATTAGTAATAACACTAACTACAGATAAGACACTTGGGTGCATAAATTGATCTGATATATATTGAAGCAATGGAATATTCATCTGCAATGTTATTAGAAAAAAATCTATATCAAACATTTAAATAATACATAATTGTACAATTAGGAAAAAAACACATCTAATCTTTAATTTTAAACAGAACAAAATATTCATGAATAAGGAAAAACTTACAAGAATGAAAGATTTTTTAACTAAATAATCTAAATCACACTTTTTGTATATAAAAGTATGTTGATTTGAGTATGGCATTGCTGCTAAAAATGACAGATTACAGACACTGGAATCAAGGTATGCTGGATTACTGGAACCATATGAATTGTTTTTAGGCTTTATAAAACCAACAAATATGTTTTCCTTTATAATTTCATACTAAGCTATGACTTTTATAGTGAATTTAAGTGACCATTATACCCAGAATAATTCTGAAAACACATACTGCTGTATAAAATTTTACTTCAGTACCATAATTCCTGACAAAAAGATACTTGTTTCGAGAATATTTACTAACTGTCATGCACATTACATAGAAGATGATTTAACAGAAAAGGAGAAAGTAGCTTGGAACCCATATATAAAGCTGTGATATTTCTTGTCTGATTTGATTATAAGGTGGAATATGTTTATGTTAAAAATATAATGTGGTTAATACATTTATGATGTTATTTATCATGACAATAACTTCAAACAATAATAATAATAATAAAATCAGTATTTACATAAAACTCTAAAATACATGAAAAAATATACACATTTACAAATAAATTAAAAAACTGTAAACTAACATTGTTAAAATATGTATCTTGAATTTACTATAAATATGTTACTTATCTGTGTGGATGCCATATAAAGAGGTACCATTAAAAGCATTTATTATGAACTAGAGCTTATAATAAAAGTTATTTTAAATTTGGTAATCTGTTACTGTCTTAGTCATGTGCAAAAAATATTCTGATGAATAAATCACTTATAGCTCACACTAAAATAACATGTATAATGATTACAAAATGAATTCTTCAACCAATTAAAATACAAGAGCAAGCCCTTGCAAAACATCAATAATCCTAATTTTAATTACACACCTTAATTTTATTTATGAGATATGAGTAATCCCCTCTCAATCCATTACTTAATAAACACATTAATTTATGTTTAATATAAAAATATGAATTAATTACTACTTACAGCTCTTGGTCCTACCCAAAAGTTATCTGGTTCAAAGTAGTCCACTTGCTCCAGAGAAAGTCTTGTGACTAGCACCTAATAAAACAACAAACATGCCATATAAACATTATTATACAATAATTATATTCAGGCTTGTAGATGTATCGATTTTCTTACGGAGCACAAGAGATATGCATATAGACCTTATTATGTTGAGCTTGTAAACAAGAAATTAGGTATAGTAATTGCTTTAATTTTAATGAATGATAATATTACTAATTAACAAATTTTTTAATTGAATGCAAATTTACATACCTGACTAGATCGCTGTGTCTTATGGAACCCCACTGGCCCAAAACCGTACACAGCTAAGGAGATCACAGTAATCAAAATTTGCACAGTTGTCACCCAATAAGTAAAATAAGGCCTATATAAGAAGAAAGAAAAAATAAATGAAAGTTCCTTAGATAATCAGCTTAATTATGTAATTATGTAAATGATCATCTGCAGAAATATAATTATAAACTATATGAATAACAGCTGATCATAAAAAAAGTCAAAACTTTCAGCATATTTAAAATGTTTAGCTCTATTCTCCTAATTTAATATCCATCCTTTCATATTAATTTTCCATCATAGATATCTAATAACTCCTTGAAATACACACACTTCAAAAATATCTTATTGAGATATAAGCAAAACATTTTGACTTAGATGTGTACCTATCACAAATAAACTCTGAACAATATTTGTCTCAACCACCTTCGTGTTAGAATAGTTATTCCAAAAACATTCATCATCTTTAAATACTATAAAGATTTTAATTGACAGTGAACCAAACAGAAAAATATTATGAAATATAATACCTCTAGTATGAATATTCAGGTGAAGCATGTGAATTAAATGTGAGATATAGCTCAGTGGAAACAAAGTAGTAAAATACCACTATATATTGACTTTCTTTGATTTTTTTGATACTTCTAACAACTTATGAATAACATACAGGATCTACATTAAAAAAAAATATATATAATTCCAACTTATATTAATGTAGTTTTGTAAATTTAAGAGAAGTTCTTTCAATAACAATTAACTAATTTGCCATATTGCTACATGCATTACATATATTTTTACTGCGACACACATTCTTTGGTATATAAAAAAACAAGCTGCATATGATGTTAGTTTTACATTTCTGTAAAATGAAGCACATATGCCATCCTTAGTTTTTCTATAAAGAAAAATATATTCCTTATGATTGTTGAACCTGTAAACACCAGATAGTCTCATAAAACACGAGCTCTGTTGAAGTGTGTATTTACATGCAATTCAAGTTACTTTGAGCACTGAAGAGCTCAATACATTTTTGGAACTACTTTGCAAGCCTATGATGAGGTGATTCTGTTGGACCAAGACAATATTTTATGGTTTAAGTACTAATCAGTCACACTGTTTCTAAAAACAATACACAAAATTATTCAAACATGTGTCTACATGCACATGATAATTAGAATGCAAACTGTTGTAATCAATATCATCAGATTGGATTATATATGAAAATGAGCTATACCAATTTAAAAATCAGCATATCATTAGTTGTATGTATGGGTATTTCATGTGTTCCGAGAATGCACACATCATCCACTTTAGAAAAATTATTTGTTTACTTGATTGCTTCAATTCTGATCACTGATTTCATTGGGAAGTTCATACTGTCAGGATTGTTCATAGTCTGTGGATTCAATATTAAAAGTATTGAGCAATTATCAGAAACCAAACAATATGGAACAGCTTTTGTGAATGTAGCATAAGACTGACAAGATTTGCTTCAGTTCCCAAACTTGACTTCAGACTTTTATTATACACTAAAATTAAGAATTTATATTAAAAACCAAACAACCATGTTATTTTTATTTGTATCAAAACTTACCTACTGTCTTCTATATCTTCAAGTTGTTCTTTGATGTTAGATGTGAAACGATCTTTACGAAAACTTCTTTTAAACAATTTTCCTACTACTCCCATCCCATACTCTCTTCTGTCTGAGTTATCAAATGCTTTACTTAACATCTGTGATACAGATATTACAAATGTACCTTACAAACTGTGTATTAACATACATACTGTGTAACATAAATATAACCCAATGTCAAAATTCTGAAATAATAAAATGTATTTAACGGATGTGTAATTTACATAAAAAGTTATGTAAATCAACAATAAATGCAATGTATGAAAATTATACTTAAAAGCAACTATGAAAAATGATGACCTTTTATTTTGATCTAGAGAAGATATTTTTTAGATTTGTTTTAGATGAGAACATCTTATTAGCTCATTTTACGAAGTTATGTTATATGACCCTGCTGAATGTTACTATATACAGACACATATGTTTTCTTTTATAATCTCCATACTCTAAAAAATAAAATTAAGATATCATTAGTTTATCATACATTAAAAACTATTATTACATCATTACCTCTTCAAATAATTCTCTCTCGGCTAGTTAATGAATACTATGCGGAAACACCTTTTTATGGGTGGCTGTTTGTACTAGTAATTACTAATTGTAGTATTCATACCTTATTGAAAAAAAAAATTAGAAAAGTGAACATTTTCGAAAAAAAGGATTTTTCTGGGAAGTACTGCACGGGAAAAGTGTTCAGATTGTGTTGATATAAACTTTAATGTTTTTATATATTAATAGTGGTTCCCTTTATTGAAAAAATAAGTTGTTTTAAGAACTTCATTTTTTTAGAACTATATTTACATATTACACCAATAAGATATAATCAAACCCTCACATACATTCCTAGTGAAAATCATGTTCTTGTTGTGAGGAGAGTACTTGTATTTAAATTTGTGTTCTGTGATAAAGAAATGGCTGTTGCACATACCATAGTTATTTTTCTAATTGTCTGAACCTTGAATACCCAAAGTGTGAATTTTTTTTAATGGATTTTTGTTTGTGATGCCATTCAATAGATGGCGCCACGTAGTATTGGTTATTTCGGTCACTGTACGTAGATATTCATATATACACGCTAAGTCCATTATAGTAAGATTTACATTTACACCATTACTTAATTATTCAAGAACACACTATGTAAAAAACTCACCATCATGCAGCTTTTCAAAATTTAACTATGAGAAAATTAGAATGTTTTAAATTGCAAGTACAGTACATACCCTCTCCCATACTTGCTGCATGGGTCCTGGAGAAGAAGGTTCATGTGCTACTGAAGGTCTGTGCCACACTCGAGAGTGAGAACTAAGCATTATAAAAACAAAAAATTGTTTGTTATCCTACCAAAAAATTTTGTTTGTACTATTTCTGATCTAACTTATAGCAAAAGTGAAAGGTAGTTCATACATATAATTGTTTTCAAATAATATAATGTGCAGACAATTATTATTTACTAATAGGGTTCAACTCTGTAGAATGCAGTTTGATACAGATTCAACTATTTGTTAAAACATGCAGAAGAAATAGGCAATAAAACATTTGCTTCAAAATATAAGAAGCATGCAAGAAGTGAATTGTGTTATATCTAAAATGCAACTTAAGGAAATCATAAAACCTTTATCTACACTAAAATGTAAAAAAAGTTAAATACTCCAATAAGATCTTAAACCTAGACTGGACCTTTACTAAGAGTATATTAGATTCCATAACTAATCCCCTCACTTTCAATAAGTTATCCACCCCCACTCCAATAAAAAATCCTAACAATTGATAGTATCATTATACTACTTGTCAATAATAGTTTCAAGAATAAATAATATTTGCTAGTTTTACAAATGTATAATGAGATGTAAAATAACATTCTAAAATATGGAATCAACCTTATTAAACCTCAAATTATCAACTTGTTTTTACACCAGTTGGTATGCCATTGAGATCAACGCATTGCATCATAATGAGTTACAACATCAAAACAACTGATGAAAACAAATCAGATGTAGTCACTCACTTTCTATGCATACACAGCAAACTCTAGCAGTAATTATTGAGATCAACTGATGGTATTTTAAATTTGTTGCGAGACTCGTATGTTTATGGACCCTATAGACACCACATTCACATGGATCCTACCCGTAATTTCAGGATTACAGTTACTGTCTTAGTGATGTGCAAAATATATTCTGATGCATAAATCATTTATAACTCACTTATTTGTTCATTGTCTCAATAGTACCTTCTGAGTCAATTACGGTTTCTGTCTGTATTACAATGATTTGTAAAATTCCTTTGACAGGTAGTTTTTCTTACAAACTTTTGTATGATTTGCAATTTAAACAGTCGAGAAAACACTAAGTTATCCTTAATAACTAACCAATGTCAAGATATTGGTTGTGGATGTGCTGGGTAGAGCTCAGATTCCAAATGAGTTTTATTATTTTTACCTCATAGGATTCACAGTTGATACATTTCAAAATATGGTATGCAAACAGACACATGTAATAATTCAAGCCAATCAATAACAAATACTAATACTTGCAATCACAATGACACAAAGCAAGGCTGAACAATTGATGGGTTCAAAATCTTCAAGACTCTTAACACAATTAGGCTTGAATGTTAATTGTTGTAACTTATTGAATCAAATAGTAAAATAAACCCTGTTACCAAGAGTATATTGTGATACTGTTAATGCTTCCGTGCCAAACATTTACTTCGCATTCTAGATTGTGTCAGAAATGAGGCAGTTTTTAGTTTGGTAAGCTTTGTTTATAAACTTGGCTAACTTGAAAAATAACTAAATTTTAGAAAACGTAAATCCGATGGTCATATATATGTTAAATGCACTTTTACTTGCTCAATTGCAGTGTTTCCAGTCCAATCACATTTGTAGTTAAATTTGACAATTACACAGATGACAATAGGAAACTTAATTTTAAAGCAGATAGAGTAAAAGATTCCATAATTTCCTTTTTTTACAGAATTTATATTTGTGGAAAGTTATATTTGGTGTAAAGCTAACCATGATATGTAAACCACATTTTCAATAATCGTTACCTTGGTCTGTCAACTTGGTCTTCTCCAGTTTCCACAGGTTTCAGAATTCTTCTAAAAGATGACGATTCTAAATCTGTTATCAGTTCAGGAGTTGGTGGTGGTTTCGCAAAAAACATTTCCTCAGTTATTTTTGTTTCTACAGTTTGGTTGATTGGCTATCAAGCATAAAGAATAAAAATAACACTATTCATAACTTCATCACAAAACAATGCAACAGTTTTATCATGTACTACACATTAGTATAAAGTCTTTTACAAAATTATGTTAACTCTCTTGACAAGGGCATGGTCATTTTCACAAAACACCAGGTAACTATGAAAGCATCTATAATATAACTATTAATGTGGTACTTGTATCTTCAAGAAATTTGGTAAGCTTTTAGCACATAAATCATCAGATTTTTAACTAAGTATTTTTACTAGTCTGAGTGCAAGTTGATTTCATGTTAAGATTAAGTTGTTGTTTTTTATTCTGCAGTTTAAAATTTCTTTTGTGTAACCTTTAAAACCTCCTAAAGGAATATCCAACATTTTCAGTATAACTTTATATTTTATCTATTATTTTCTCTACCCTACCTCTTTACAGACTCAATCTTACAACAAGAAAAAATAAGAAATAAATCTAAGTTATCCATTTTTCTTTCTATAATGACTACAGATTGTAACATAAATTTACAATTATTTATCCTAAACAGTTTAACGCTCATAACAGTTTGCATCTGTTTTTATTTAATTTTATTGCTCTTTGATCCATGTCTTACTAATAATCCCACAACAGAAGCTGTAAATCACTTGGCAAATGTTTAGCTTAAGTTAACATCATTCAATAACACGAGTTACTCATGAGAATACCTTATAGAGAAGTTTATCATTATTTTTATTCTCTAACCTAATAAGTTTCTAATTTTTACATTTTAATTATTTCTATAAACATACATAAAAAACATATTTAATACTTACATTTGGTCTCTTTTTTTTTTCTGCTATCAGCCTGCAGATGAAACTTAAGACTACTTTTTTTGAAATGATGGTACTAGTATATTAAACATTAATTTATTTAAAATATGCACTTAAGAACATAAAATAATAACATGCACAAAGCAAGCAATGTCCTTTAACTATTATAATTTAACTGAGTTACTAAGGAACACATGAATATCTTGAAATAATTCCCTTAGCTAGTTGATCTGAACTCAACAACAGCAAATTTCAATCAGAAGAAAAAATAACTAAAAATCTCCATTAAGAACAAGGTAGCATTATACATCATTCAGTAAACTAAAACTTTTTTTTTCAAGTGTTATAAATAATGTAATAGCAAACACCAAAGAGAATTACTGGCAATTTGTGAAAAAGAGGGTCTACCTTTCTGTAAACAAAGAAAAGTGAAGGCTATAAAAATTAGACTATGCCTTAGTAATGTCTGTACTATAATAATATGTAACTTACTTTAAACTCAGGACATCGGAGACTGGTGATGAAAAAATTAAAAATGAGCAAGTGGAAGTGAACAAATGCCATAATACACATATAAAGGGAAATTGGGAATTTATTTAAATCTTCAACAGCCACAGCACTTGAAATCATTTTAAGCAGGATTAGAATAAATTAATCAATGAGACCTTTGCTTCCTATTTTATTAGCTATATTTTTGCACGCCAGCAATACCAAGTGTGGGGCGCATGTATAGTCAATTCAATTTTATTACTCGTCGGGATCTCTATCACCTACACTCAAACTGAAATTCTTTTAGGCAGGATTAGAGTAAATTAATCTGTGAGAGCTTGGGCGTAGTGAAATACATTAATCAAAAAGGTTTGACCTTCTGAGTCCAAAACTGTAATCATATCTCAAATCAGTCAAGAGAAGACAGAGCTATGAGCTAAAGGTTTGTACTTGAAAAAAACCTCAGAGTCGTTCTATGAGCTGCTATGCCATGGCTAAAAATGTGACTTACTATTAGACAACCTATTTACAAACCTCAACATTTATGCCTAAAAAAAGCTATAATTAAGATGAAAAAGTTTGCTAAATAAAGTCACACAAGTCTTAGATGTAGTTCTTAAAGTATAAAAATAACTTATTTATAAGCATGTTTAACTGCTAGTGTCTTAACCTGAAATTTTACAACAGGTAGGCATGGTATAGCAAAAATCACCTTTGGACTAGAAATCATTTGATCATCTTTGATGAATGCTGATGTAGTGTGACACAGTTTTCTTTGAGGTGGCCTACTATTTTGAGAGTAAGGAGCTGAAAGTCTTCTTTTCACATTCTGTAAAATAATTAATAGTTTCGAAACATAAACAACATACTTCTAAAAGTAGACTGAAAATATAAAATAAATTATTCACAAGCAAACATTACTCTTTGAAAAAAAAAAGGACCTTATATTACCAAAAAATAAATATTACATTATTTTACTATACAGACATTGAAGTATTGAGCTGTATTATAATTGCAAAGTATTATGATTAATGAAAAGTGGTTTTGAATAAAATTAAGTTTTACGTATGACGAGTTTGAATTAAGTTAGTGTTAACCATTAAGCTCCAAAAAATTAATTTTTCATATGTTGTTCTTGATGGTTTTTGTGCAAGACTTTTCAATTCTATTTGAAACTAACACTATAAAATTTCCTTATCTAATAGAGAACTGTCCCACACATATTAGTACGATAGACCAGAAAATTCAGATCTTGTTTATAGGTCTACTATTTTGAGACATACTGATCTGATAAGAAGTTCATGCTACACTAAGATAGTTTAAAAGAGTATAATTTGTTGTGTAAGCTTGAAATAAACACTAACACAAAAATTATAAGGCTGTTTTTACTTTAATAAGACTTACATATTTATATAATACTTATTTTTACATAAAAAGCCTTTGCAGTGATTTAATTTTAGTGTTTAGACATCTCTGAGGACTCAAATACAAAAAAAAAAAAAAACAGGTGAAAAGAAAGAAGGGATCACTATAATCCTGAATATAGATTTTCAGTTTAATACACTAACAGGATCAAAGTTATTCTTTTATTATATTTGCAACTAAAAAACTCAAAATTAATTTGACCTTTGTGTGAACTTGCATATCATTTAGGCCAAATTTGGCAACAAATAATAAATAAACATTGTGTGACCTCTGTACAATCTTTGCCTTATGGATTGATTTTATTACATGGCTAATACTTAAAGCTTGTGAAACGATGCATGTATGAACTTTAAAGTAAACCCAATCTTTTATGTACACAGATTTAAAGTCTGTCACTCTGTTATTAATCTTTATATATGACTAAGACTCATTCCCAACATGAAAAATAAAGTTTAGCAATGCAATAAATATATTGCAGTTCTATCTCTCAGTGACCGTGACCACTGACCTTAGTTTTTAACGTACAACCAGGATTTGTTCCTGCCCATGTTTATAAAAATTGAAAAGCCTTCTACTATTTGTGTTAATTTGGTCATTCACTTTAGAGGTAATTAGCTGGTGAAAAACATGTTTGCTTTCTGTTATAAGAAAACAATAAAAACAGCCTAATAGGCTTTCACTGTACTTCTTTCAGTAAGTTACATATGTGAGATTTATTCTAATAGCTTCTTTATTTAAAAGTTGTACAAAAAACTGAAAAGTTCACACTCAAAACCTACTTATAATGCAGTAATAGGTCTTGGAGCTTTAACCATTTCTAGACAGGTCATGGGTGAAAGGCCATGTCATCTTGTTTGTTGACTCACATTCAAAAGTTTATTGAACTAATAATTCATGAATTTATATCAATAAGTTTGGTAACAAACTCTAGATTATAATTCAAATTTTAGTAATATATATTACTCAATTTCTTAATTTAAAAGCAAATATTAAAAACACAGATAAACATCAATTTTTGTGTCATGTGGTATGTTAAATGTACCACTGGTTCAAATTAGATTTCTGTGAAGTCAAAATATTAAGTTTATAGTTTTGAACGAATTAGAAACTCAAATTGCCAATACTGACAAGCTAGAATATAAAATAAGAGCCTCTTATCTTTTCAATTTGCTAAGATATTGCTCATGTAATAAATCAAACGTAGTGGAACCCTGGCACTATGTCCATTTTTGGAAACACTCCCTTATATACACTTACTTGTATATATGACATGAATAACCAATCAGAAGCTCAGAATGT